TAAATTCACAGTAAATTACTGGCAACTCTTTTGCATTACTTTCACAGTACACATTGTAAATTCACAGTAAATTACTGGCAACTCCTGCATTGCTTTCACAATAGAAATGTAAAAGTACAGGCCCTTGTTGTAATGCATGTACAACAAAATGATGTAATTCCCCAGTAACATACTGTAATATCACAGTAATTCCTTAGTCATTGAAGCTGTGAAGTTACAGTATACAGTTTTACCTTTACAACAATGCATTGTAATATCATGGGTGTGAAATTACAATACATTGCTGTGAAGACATTCACAGCAATGTATTGTAATATCATGGGTGTGAAATTACAATACATTACTGTGAAGACATTCACAGTAAATTGCTGTGAATCTTACTGTGAAAGTCATGCAAAATTTGGCCAGGTATTTATTGTGAATTCACGGTGTATATTTTTACAGTGTGGCCACCGAATGATGAGGAGGAAAACTAAAGACAGTATAGCCTTTGCATCTATTTTAGCACGTAGAAGAATACTCCTAGAATGGAAATCTTCGATACCACCTAAAGCATCTCTATGGCTCAAAGATCTAATGATGTACCTGAACTTGGAGAAGATTAAATATAACTGAGGGGCTCTTCAAAACTATTTAAATCTGTCTGGGGCTCTATGATAGCCTACATAGCTGAACTTAAGACACTAAATGAAGAAGAAAGGGGGGAACTATGAATGTATGTGTTTTTTTGAGTTTTTACATTACATTACATGCTACTTGTTAGACGCTTTTATCTAAAGCGACTTACATACTCAATACTGTGGACAATCCCCACAGGAGCAATTTGGGCTGAAGTGTCTTGCCCAGGGACACAACGACATGCTGACTGCAGTGGGGTTTGAACCTGTGCTCCCCTGATCCGAGCACCAACGCACTAGTCCACTGCGGCACAGCCTCCCTGTTTCTGTCTTTATATACATGTATGTATGTACGTGTATGTATGTGTATGTGTATATGTGTGTAGGTATGCACATGTATATATATGTGTATGTGTATATGTGGGTATACATATGTGAGTATATGGGTAGTATTATTGTTATTATTCTTTATTTCCTTATCTATTCATTTTCTTTTAATATTATCTTTTACATTACTTTATCTTTACCTATATATGTATCTATTTATTTATTTACTTTACTAGCTAGGACCGGGAGGGGAGGGGAGGGGGGGGAAGGGAAAAATATTGACTGTATAAATGTAAACTCATTGTGCCTGACTCAATAAAAAAATAAAATAAACAATGGAATTAAGCCTTAACCTTTCCAACTTTACCAAACTTCAGGGTTTTTTTCCCATTTAAAAAAACCTCCATTCAAACAACAAAACGGTTATCTCGATTGGGACAGATGGCCATCACTTGATCATTTCTGAACAACAGCCCGTAATTAGGCTGTAGCTAAGGGGAAGAGCTGTTGTCTTTGAGTCAGAAGGTGGTGGGTTCAATCCCAGCCTTGCAGTCATCATGTTGATTTATCCCAGTGTGTAGTTTGCTGCTTGTTAAATGTGTGCTTTATCTCACTGCTTTAGTTGAGAAGAGCTTCAAAATCAAAAATCTCAAACCTGTTAGAAATCCCATCCCTTACTATCCTGTTACTGAGTTTTAGGTAGGAGCAAAACCTTTGATAGCAACACCATTTTTGACTCTAATAAACATTTATATCTGGCTCTTGAGGGGCTCTGAAGTGAAGTGTACTTATTGCGCCAAATACATCAATAAAAGTAAATCAAAGTGTTTTTATTCAGCCCAATATCACAAATTGTACTTTTGTCTCAGGGGGCTTTAAGGTTGAACATGAATACGACAGAGATTCCCGATGCTATAAGCTTTTAAAATATGTATTGAAGAGAGAAGAGTCTCCTACTATGTTTCTCCTCGCACAGTGTACACCTTGACACAAAGCTTCCAAATAAAAGGGGGACTGGTCAGAGGAAGTGAAACTAAATATTATAGCAACTCAAAGATATTGTTAAAGAAACATGCACAACTTTCAGAGCAATTGAAAGTACAATTGTTATAAATGTTGTCGTATCCACAGAATACAAGGCTACCAAGCAGAACAACACTGTGTGAAACACGCACAAACACAGACATTCATAAATATATTAATGTTAGTAAAAATAAATGTAGAAATACATGTTCTGTTTTTCAACTTATATATTTTTATTTATACATTTATTCTAGTGTTTATTTATTCCTGTATTTATTTCCACATGTATTTATGAATTTATTCTAGTATTTATTTCCTAATTTATTTATTCTTATATTTATTTATTCCTGTATTTATTTCCGTATTTATTTATTCCTGTATTTATTCATACATTTATTAATTTATACTTATGTCATGTTCCGTCCTAATAGTAGCTAGCCTAAATTTGAGGGATTAGTTGATTTAAAGGTAGGGTAGGTAATTCACTTCAGAAACACTTTTTGTTATATTCCATGGAATGCTCTTAACATCCCGATAGCAATGAATAAATTAAATGCTTTGACAATAAATATATACAAATATTTCATCTGTGGAAGCCGTGGCGCTGTAAAAATCAAGTCCAATTATCTGCCTCGGCCCGCGGCAGATAATTGGATGGCCTACCTGCCTGTCAGCCTTGCATCTCGTGCACAAACGTATCTCCTGTGCCCTTATAGAGAGGCGAAGTCCCGCCCATCTACTTCCGACCCATGGGACCTTATTTCGGAAAAATGATGTATTGAAGTCAATGGGGAGAGAAAACCTATCTTTTGATCCCGTTTGAATTGTGCCATGAATTACACATATGATGTTTGTCAATCTTAAAAAATAATTTCCATGTCAAAAAAGTCACAGTTTGTCGTAAAACTGTTGAAATATAAGACTATGAAAAATACGCAACTAGAAAGACTACAAATCCCAGAATCCCGGTCCAGCATGCTGGCTCTTACAGAACCGACTAACTGTGTATGTACAGCTCTCAACATGCCCAGACTTGTAGTGATTTTCACCTCTTTTAATACTTTTCGCCTCATTCTGAAAGAAAGAGGTTAAATGTGCCAACGTGACGGCCGTCTTGGTGTGTGGTGCGAGACGGGAGATGTAGTTCATTGAGCGGTTTCACACAAAAAAAGTGTTACTTCACAGTTTTACGACACATTTTAATTTTTTTGACCTGTAAAATTATCTTTTAAATTGACAAACATCATATGTGTAATTCGTGGCACAATTCAAACGGGATCGAAAGATAATCTTTCTCTCTCCATTGACTTCAATGCATAACTTTTCCGAAATAAGGTCCCATGGAGCTCAACCGGAAGGGGAGGGACTTCGCCTCTCTATTCTGGCTTACTCGAGCTGGTTTCTCCATTCTTACCTACCCTATCTTTAGATACAAATATAAATTCTGCCATTTTCTGCTTGAGTGAACGGTTTTTATGTTATTTCACGGAACTTAAAAACTGACCCTGACGTGATTTGAACACGCAACCTTCTGATCTGGAGTCAGACGCGCTACCGTTGCGCCACAGAGTCAAGTGAAAGATGTATTTTGTAGAGGTGTACTATCCCTGCTAATCACTATGTATATATCACAAACGGATTTTTTGAGTGACACATAATATAAAAATGTGGCCATAACGTGATTTGATCACATACTTTTCCGATCCGAAGTCAGACGCACCATACAGTTGCGCCACAATGTCTGTCCCTTGACCTCTGTCTGAAACGTCACGGGGTTAAGGGATAGTGGATAGGAGAATTCAAAAGGACTTAGAAGAGACTGCGGTAGGCTACTTTAGAGAATCCGACTGCACTTTCACTATCCGACGTGAATATGATGCGCCAGCAGACGTCATAAAAGTGCGTCTGCGGCTGTGGGGAAACTATGGTTTTCTATACAGCGGACTACAACATGGATGTATAATAAGAACGACGGACTACTGTAAACTCATCTCGAGACTCTGCACCGTGCTCTGATGCTGTTTTATGCTTTATGAACGTGTACAACAGAGAAACATATTCATGACCAAAGTTGGAATTGAAATAAAAAAGGAAAGTGAAACTTATGCTCGTCTCTCGGTCCGGCAGCTTCTCGAAATAGTGGCTCTGCAGCAGGTTTACTCGAGAAACGGCCCCGGTAAGTAGTGGCATCTGTGTCAGATGCCGGAAGTACCTGCCACAGAGTAGTGGCATCTGCCAGAGCAAGCAGTGGCATCTGCCCACTAGCAGTTGCCTAAGTCTGTAGCTGTGCCAGTGGACACGTTACTGTGTCAAGAACAGAAATGGGAGAAGTAGCCTACTCAAATCTTGTGCTTAAGTAAAAGTACCTAAAATGTAGGAATAGCCTTTACTCTGTTACAAGTAAAAGTCCTGCATTAAAATGTTACTAAAGTAAAAGTGCAAAAGTATTGACATCAAAATATAGGCTACTTAAAGTAAAAGTTTTTTTAATGTGTCACCTAAATCCACAGCATGGTGAATAGAGAGCTCAAAGAAACTATAACCACCCGATACGTCAACAGTCGCAGGTTTGACTGCCTTCGATCAGGCAGAAGTTACTCTCAGCCATCTGGGTTTATAGATGTATCTTCACAGTCTACTTTTTAATGCCATTCTAGTATTGTTTATTTCTACTTATGTGCAATGTATTGTTTTTTGTAATGCTGCTGCAACACAAACATTTCCCCAATTTGGTATAAAGTACCTCATATTATCTTGGGCCAGCAAAAAAATATGTTTTTTTTTTTTTTTTAAACCCTTTTGTAGTACTCAGCCCACTGATATACTTTTTTTTTTATAAATAGTGTACCATCTACCACCTTTTGCCAATGGAAATCGCAAATAAGAGTATAGTGAATAGAGAGCAATAAAAATACCCAAAACAATCCCAAATTATATCAAGTGATTTCACAGGAGGCTTTAAACCATCTTACAATTGTGTTTCTCCTTCTGCAAGAGAGTTCCCAAGTCAAGAGTATCAACCTTGAAGCCAGAGTAATTAACAAAATATTTATTTAGCAGATATCTTTGTTCATGCTGTGGGCATCCACGTCACTAGTATCCACCCTGAAAGACAGGAAAATACCAAGTTTAGTACAAGTTAGAAACATGCAGTTAGTAATATGCCAACACATTTTGGGAACATACATAACCAAAGTTGTAGCCAGGGGCCTGGTTGCGGATTGGCTGCCTGAAGCCTCTAGGGGAAGCAGCCTTTGCACCATCCCGTCCAGAACCAGCCATCAAAGGACTCTTCACAGGTATCCTGGGTGCGTAAAAGTTCTGGACGGGTGCAGCAGCAGCAGCGGCCTGGCTCCCCTGTACGGGTGCAGGGTTATTGGGAAAATGGTCTCTCACATAGTGAACGTCTTGAAAGCTGTCTCTTCCTTGCTCGTAGCTGTCGCTGGAAAAACTGACTGTGCCTGGGGGGGTACTGTCCGTTCAGGAAGAAGAAGTCGTAGAACCGATAAGGGACCTCAACTCCGCCCGTGTTGGCTTCTGGTCGAGGTTCGCTGGTTAAGCTTGGTCTAGCATATCCTTGTCCCGCAGACTCTGACCTATGAGGTGGAGGTTGAGAAGGTCCTAGAGGAAAAGGTCCTGGAGGAGGCACTAGGTCCTCCGTCTCCTGCTCAGAGTTACCCTGCTCTAAGATTTGGGAATAAGTGGACAACTCCCCTGCCTGGTAAAATGATCCAGGAGGACTCACGTTTTCTGGTTGACTGGAGAAAACGGCACGGGTGCCTGTCGACACTTCCTCACCTCCGGAGAGCATCCTGGGAGGTTCAACAGCCCATTTGACTTCTGAAACAGAAATGTAGAGAAGTTTGAAACTCACATGAATTTGTAGTCAAGAAAAGGCCAAGATTTGCCAGGGATGATTTTTTTTTGTGATTGTGCAATTGCAAACTGATTTGGCAGTTAAAGGACATAACATTAAGCATGAGATCATTACCTCGAAGGGCAGGTTGATAAACAGCTTCTGGTTGAGCAGAGTTGTCAGGGTTTTGCCTTGCTGAAGTTCCCCTGTAACCTGAATTAACCGGTCCAAAAGAACCAGGGCCAACAGCAGGTTCTGGTTGTCTTTGAGCAGTTAGCTGAGGGACACTGGGCTTCTGCTGTGGTACAGCCTGATAAGGTGATTGGTAGATCCCTTCAGCGGGCACATTGTAATACTCAACAGCCTCAGGTGAAAACTGACCAGAGGGCCCTTGCTGGTACAAGCCAACATTAGGAGCCGTGTTGGGTTTACTTCCACCATAGTAGGCCCCAGGATAAGAGCCTAGGTACAAGAGAAAAACAAGTTTACTAGGAAGCTAATTCAACTGAAAAAAACAAACATTTTACCAAAGTCGAAGACACATCACCTTGCTTAACAGGAAGGCAGCACATGCTCACAATCAGCATCGCAAAGAGGGAAGCCCTGAAATAATTTGGAATAGTATGAACACATTTGTATGAGTAACAAGTCAACTTAAAGCACGGCAGATACTTACCCTGCAACAAACCGTGAAGTCATCATGATGAAGGCATTCACTGGAGAACCTGGCAAAGGAGGACGGTTATAAGTGTTGCCAGAGACCAGCCCGGACCAATCAGACCTTAACGAGTAAATGACGGACAGCTGCTGGTGAAGGACTCAGCAGGTGGATCAAACCTCAGCAATCAGTCTGACAGGAGCCAATGAGGACAGCTCAAGAAGAAAATGGGTTGATATTATACTGCACCTTTTTCACCAAAATGTTATTCATTTACATTTTATTAAGCTTAGAAGTTGGGCAAAATGTACATGACTTAAAAAAAAGTGTATAAATTGACAAACAATAAAAAGTCTGATAAATCTCTGATAAGTCTCAACCAAATTTCACCAGAAAACACAGACTCAGTCAACCAAACACTGGACAAAAAACGCAGGGGTAGTTTGGAGTTAAGCCTTTACATACTGTATCTCATTTTTATTTGAATATCATGCTAAACATAAATGTCCCTGTTTAAAAAAAAATATCTTATCAGATTAATTACATTTCTATAAAAAAAAATGTATAGCCAGTTGCCTGCAGGTGTATAATATTTTTCAGAAATTGAAAAATATCTGGGCAAATAAAGGGAATAATTCCAACACTATATTTTCATATTGAAAATATATTTCATAACATTTTAACTTGACAACCTCTTCAGTTGTTGCACTTTAAAAAAAAGTTGACCTGACACAAATTGTATCTGTATAATTTGATGAATATCATTACATTTGGCATATTCAAATACAAAATACTGAATCCATGACACAACATTTTTCTACTGACAGACACACTAAAAACACCCGAGATATAATATATTTTTTAGACCATCAAAGCAAAGATGGAGAATGAGTAAGTTTGGCACAGTAATAATTATCCAACAGCTACATTGAGAATTAAGCGTCCAGCAGATGGCAGAGCTGTGTTGCTTATCATGGGTGACGTTATTTGAAGTGCAAATCTCATTTTAGAAACATAAGGAGGCACTGATGGCTCAATACGAGGCGAGACTTCGACAGTGCAGGAACACAGAGAGGATGGATGCAGGAGGGGAAATGTTTGTATGTAAAAGAACATTGAAAGGATGCATTTAATGTGTCACCTAATCCACAGCATGGTGAATAGAAAGCTCAAGAAACTATAACCACCCGATACGTCAACAGAAGTCGCGGGTTTGACTGCCTTTGATCAGGCAGAAGTTACTCTCAAGCCATCTGGGTTTATAGATGTATCTTCACAGTCTACTGTATATTTTCTACTTTTTAATGCCATTCTAGTATTGTTTATTTCTACTTATGTGCAATGCATTGTTTTTTGTAACGCTGCTACAACGCAAACATTTCCACAATTTGGTATAAAGTACCTCTTATCTTGGGCCATCAAAAAAAAGATAATGTTTTTTTTAACCCTTTTGTAGTACTCAGCCCACTGATATACATGTGTTTGTTTTTTTATAAATAGTGTACCATCTACCACCTTTTGCCAATGGAAATCACAAATAAGAGTATGGTGAATAGAGAGCAATAAAAATACCCAAAACAATCCCAAATTATATTAAAGTGATTTCACAGGAGGCTTTAAACCATCTTAAAATTGTGTTTCTCCTTCTGCAAGAGAGTTCCCAAGTCAAGAGTATCAACCTTGAAGCCAGAGTAATTAACAAAATATTTATTTAGCAGATATCTTTGTTCATTCTGTAGGCATCCACATCACTAGTATCCACCCTGAAAGACAGGAAAATACCAAGTTTAGTACAAGTTAGAAACATGCAGTTATTAATATGCCAACACATTTTGGGAACATACATAACCAAAGTTGTAGCCAGGAGCCTGGTTGCGGATTGGCTGCCTGAAGCCTCTACGGGAAGCAGCCTTTGCACCATCCCGTCCAGAACCAGCCATCAAAGGACTCTTCACAGGTATCCTGGGTGCGTAAAAGTTCTGGACGGGTGCAGCAGCAGCAGCGGCCTGGCTCCCCTGTACGGGTGCAGGGTTATTGGGAAAATGGTCTCTCACATAGTGAACGTCTTGAAAGCTGTCTCTTCCTTGCTCGTAGCTGTCACTGGAAAAACTGACTGTGCCTGGGGGGTACTGTCCGTTCAGGAAGAAGAAGTCATAGAACCGATAAGGGACCTCAACTCCGCCCGTGTTGGCTTCTGGTCGAGGTTCGCTGGTTAAGCTTGGTCTAGCATATCCTTGTCCCGCAGACTCTGACCTATGAGGTGGAGGTTGAGAAGGTCCTAGAGGAGGCACTAGGTCCTCCGTCTCCTGCTCAGAGTTACCCTGCTCTAAGATTTGGGAATAAGTGGACAACTCCCCTGCCTGGTAAAATGATCCAGGAGGACTCACGTTTTCTGGTTGACTGGAGAAAACGGCACGGGTGCCTGTCGACACTTCCTCACCGCCGGAGAGCATCCTGGGAGGTTCAACAGCCCATTTGACTTCTGAAACAGAAATGTAGAGAAGTTTGAAACTCACATGAATTTGTAGTCAAGAAAAGGCCAAGATTTGCCAGGGATGATTTTTTTTTGTGATTGCGCAATTGCAAACTGATTTGGCAGTTAAAGGACATAACATTAAGCATGAGATCATTACCTCGAAGGGCAGGTTGATAAACAGCTTCTGGTTGAGCAGAGTTGTCAGGGTTTTGCCTTGCTGAAGTTCCCCTGTAACCTGAATTAACCGGTCCAAAAGAACCAGGGCCAACAGCAGGTTCTGGTTGTCTTTGAGCAGTTAGCCGAGGGACACTGGGCTTCTGCTGTGGTACAGCCTGATAAGGTGATTCGTAGATCCCTTCAGCGGGCACATTGTAATACTCAACAGCCTCAGGTGAAAACTGACCAGAGGGCCCTTGCTGGTACAAGCCAACATTAGGAGCCGTGTTGGGTTTACTTCCACCATAGTAGGCCCCAGGATAAGAGCCTAGGTACAAGAGAAAAACAAGTTTACTAGGAAGCTAATTCAACTGAAAAAACAAACATTTTACCAAAGTCGAAGACACATCACCTTGCTTAACAGGAAGGCAGCACATGCTCACAATCAGCATCGCAAAGAGGGAAGCCCTGAAATAATTTGGAATAGTATGAACACATTTGTATGAGTAACAAGTCAACTTAAAGCACGGCAGATACTTACCCTGCAACAAACCGTGAAGTCATCATGATGAAGGCATTCACTGGAGAACCTGGCAAAGGAGGACGGTTATAAGTGTTGGCAGAGACCAGCCCGGACCAATCAGACCTTAACGAGTAAATGACGGACAGCTGCTGGTGAAGGACTCAGCAGGTGGATCAAACCTCAGCAATCAGTCTGACAGGAGCCAATGAGGACAGCTCAAGAAGAAAATGGGTTGATATTATACTGCACCTTTTTCACCAAAATGTTATTCATTTACATTGTATTCAGCTTAGAAGTTGGGCAAAATGTACATGACTTAAAAAAATAGTGTATAAATTGACAAACAATAAAAAGTCTGATAAATCTCTGATAAGTCTCAACCAAATTTCACCAGAAAACACAGACTCAGTCAACCAAACACTGGACAAAAAACGCAGGGGTAGTTCAGCCTTTACATACTGTATCTCTTTAATTTTAATATCATGCTAAACATACATTTCCTTGTTTTAAAAAAATATCTTATCAGATTAATTACATTTCTATAAAAAAAATGTTATAGCCAGTTGCCTGCAGGTGTATAATATTTTTCAGAAATTGAAAAATATCTGGGCAAATAAAGGGAATAATTCCAACACTATATTTTCATATTGAAAATATATTTCATAACATTTTAACTTGACAACCTCTTCAGTTGTTGCACTTTAAAAAAAAGTTGACCTGACACAAATTGTATCTGTATAATTTGATGAATATCATTACATTTGGCATATTCAAATACAAAAAACTGAATCCATGACATAACATTTTTCTACTGACAGACACACTAAAAACACCCGAGATATAATATATTTTTGAGACCATCAAAGCAAAGATGGAGAATGAGTAAGTTTGGCACAGTAATAATTATCCAACAGCTACATTGAGAATTAAGCGTCCAGCAGATGGCAGAGCTGTGTTGCTTATCATGGGTGACGTTATTTGAAGTGCAAATCTAATTTTAGAAACATAAGGAGGCACTGATGGCTCAATACGAGGAGAGACTTCGACAGTGCAGGAACACAGAGAGGATGGATGCAGGAGAGGAAATGTTTGTATGTAAAAGAACATTGAAAGGATGCATTTAATGTGTCACCTAATCCACTAGACCCTCCAGAAAAACGCGATTATGCGATCGCATAATTTACCGCATAATCAGCAAAATGGCGCATATTTTTAAAAGGGCGCATATTTATTAAAAGGTCGCATAATCCCCGCATTTTTCCACACAAAGTTGAGGGAAAAAAAAGTTAACGTGAAGTAGTGATGTCATCAGCTCGCGCAGGTAAACAACACCGTAGAATGAATGTGTGGAACTCACACGAGAGAAAACAACAAGATCAGCGCCATATAGATTATTATATACTATTATTATTAGTATATACTATTATACTATTATACGGCTCTGACCAAGATGAAAAAATCGAATCCATCTCATTTGCCTACGAACATTTCTGCTAAAGACCGGGCAAAGCAGTACCCCGATGTCTTGCACGAAAGTGGGGGGAAACTATTCTGCACCCCGTGCAACTGTGTGTTGGAGCATAAGAGAAAATCGACGGTGACGACCCACTTTGATTCATTCAAACATTCTAAAATGCTTTCTGCTGCTGCGGACAAGAAAGTCAAACAACTCAGGTTCACCGAGGCATCAACCTCCAAAGAAACGAGGTGAGTAGCCTACAAGATTGAAGCTGGTCAGATAACGAACGAGTAAATTAAAACAGAATGAGGCGGAGAAGAGTGTGTGTGTGTGTGTGTGTGTGTGTGTGTGTGTGTGTGTGTGAGACGGGCCGTCTCCACGGCAGCGTTAAAAAAATCTTGGAGGTGGGCGTATCTGAAGCTTGAGGATTTTTTGCGAGCAACCAATCACATGAATCTCCCGCCCGCGACATACGAAGCAAAAAAGCCCGAAGTAAACTGGATATAAACTCCCCATAACAGGCGAAAACCTACCACTGTCTC